CTAAGAAACTCTCCACCAGAGTCAGATCTCAATGTAACAATCTTAGTGCACAATAAGTTCTCAACCATAGACTTGAAATGAATGAAAGTAAAGAAAGCCTGAAATTTGTATTTAAGTGGAAAGAACCAACAATAGTTTGTACAATAATCATCAAATATGATATAATATCTAAAACCTTTTACAGAAATAATTGGTGAAAGACCCCATACATTTGTATGTAAAAGCTCTAATGGCTTTTTTGTAGAGTGAGAAACTATAGAAAATGGCAATTTCGAACATATGCCCATAGCACAACTAGAACACAGAGACTTATGGATATCACCAGAGACTGAAATACAAGAATGAGATGCAACTTTATTAAGTATATTGAAAGAGGGATGGCCAAGTCTTTGATGCCATATATCCTGAGATGCTTTTGAAGTTGCTGCAAAAGCACGTTGTTGTCTAGCAATGGAAGGTGTGGTGTGAAATGGATAAAGCCATCTTGTACATGTCATTTAAAAAGAACTTTCTCCGAAGAAATATCCTTCACAAGAAAGTGGGAAAGATATAGATGTACTGAGCATTGATTATCAAGAATAAACTTGTTTGCAGACAGCAAATCTTGCTTTAATGTAGGGACATGTAAAACATGCTTAAGATCAAAACAATGAGTAGTAGTAGGTACACTAAAAGAACTAAGATGAAGTATAGGCAAACCTTTGTCATCTCCAATGTAGACTTGCTCAGGTCTAGTGTATGATTCTAGATTGTTCAATTTTGCATAGGAATTTGTCATGTGTGATGATGCGCCAGAATCAAGCAACTATGTGTGCTAAGGAGCAGAAGTATTGACACAGAATGCAGCTAGAGGAGAAGTGTCAAAGTTAGGATTCAGGCGTTGAGGGCACTCAATAGCTTTATGATCAAATTGCTTGCAGATTTGACAAGTAAATCTTCTGCCAAAGTTGTTGAATCTGGAGCCACGATTGTTATTATACCTCTGATTGTTAGATCGATTGAAAGTGTTTCTCTGAGTATTATTCCTGAAATTGCCTCAATTTTAAGAATTTCTAGGGTTTGAAAATGTCGATCAGAACCACGACCTTGATGAAAATTGGAGTTGGAGAAACTCTGAGCAATGTAGGCCTAAGAGATTGAAGGATCAGAAGGTAGAGGCAGAATTCCAGCAGAGGTATTGAATGCCTGAATTGGTGCAAGTGTAGTCGTCTTACGATTTTCAATCTAGATTTCCTTGATCAGCAAAAGGCCATGAAGCTCATCAATAGTAGTGGATCCAATTTGAAATTAAATAACATCAACAAAGGAATCGAACACAGAAGGTAGACCATGAAGAGTTACAGAAATCAGTTCAGAATCATCGACCGGAGCACCGGTGCTAGCCAAAGCATCAGCAAGTTCTTCAATTCTTTGAAGATATGAAGCAGCAGATGAATCACCTTTAGTTATAGAACGAAGTCTTGATCGGAGTTCATGAATATGAGACTGCGAAGCCGTCGCAAATCTCGATTCAAATTTGGACCATAGCTCTCAAGAAGAATTCCCACCAACAATGTAAGGAATCACAGAATCAGAGAGAGTAGAGTTGATCCAGATGAGAATATTCTGATCTGTCTCATACCAAGCAATGGATGTCGGATTCAGAGAAGAATTTGCAGATGCATCACAGAAATACTTGGGCGGAGCAGCTTGAGAGCCATCGATTATTCCGATGAGATTATACCTCCTGAAGTTCGGAGCAAAGAGAGTGCTCCAAGTAAGATAATTGGTGGTGGTAAGTTTGATCGGCACCATAGAACCAATGTTCTGAATCATGATTGAGGAAGTTGAAGAGTTGGAAGCATTAGGGCACAGAGACGAGACGAGAGATTCGACATCAGCAGAGGGAGACGAAGAAGCTACCATTGATGACGGTGAGGGTTAGGGTTTGAACATAGAGACGTCGGAGAGAGACGGTGCAGAGGCGTTGGAGAGAGGCGGTGCAGAAGCGGTTTGGATCAGGAGGTCGTTAGACAGATGGCTATGAAACCATGATAGATAAAATATCTTTCTGTATTTCTTAATGAATAAGATTACATTATGATTCTGATATATATACCAGAGAATATCCTTTGAGTAAATGACAACTAATCTAACTAATTACAGTTAGGAAAACTAACAAAAAATATCAACTTGGATTTACAATACTACCCTTAATAGTTGCTGCTCGAAGAATTACCATCGCCATTGTTATTGTCGATGTCTTAAGGACTCGATGATATTGTTGGATTTACCGGGCTCATGATCCACAAAGACAACCACCACAGAGAGAATTGAGCATTTGCGATCAAGTTGTTGTAGAGAGCACTTAAGTGAGTTGGACTTTATGGTTCCATCAGGGAGACTTGATTTTTCTCCGCGAAGGTGCATATGTCCTCATGCATGGTGGCATAGGCAGAGACTGCGGTGAGTTTTTTTATTATTTATCTAAAATATTGTGTTCGGTTATATATCTAGTTAAAATTAAATAACATATTTCGTCACGAGATGCTTGCATAACACAAAATACATACCTTTAGCCTTTAGGGCTCGAACAGAACTGAGTACGTACAATGAGTGCCAATAAGCCTTTGGTGTTCATGAATACTTAAGAAAATTGAGGTTCCACCAAAAAATCAATTGGCAATATAAGGAGTAGCTCAGCTTACTTATAAACCTATGCAAAGTCCCTCCTTCCAACAATGTGGGATTCACTCCAATCACGCCCCTCATGTGAGGTGAGTGGACAACATAAATCAAGTGACGTAGAGTGCGTGTGTTTGTTAATTGGGCTTCACATAGGGCAACATGCTCTGATACCATGAAGGAAGTTGAGAGGTTCTATCATAAAACCAATAAGCAATATGATAAGTAGTCCAACTTACTTATAAGTCTATGCAAGATCCATCTTTCCATTAGCGTGGAATTCATTCTCAACAAATACTCCAAGAGCCAGATTATCTCAAGGTGACCTTTGTTGATTAACCCGACAGCGAAAGTAAACACAATCTTAGTTGCAAAAGCTACGATGACAACCGCCAACATACGATCGATGGTCGTCCCACTTCTGAACTCATATTCTGCTATTTTCTCTAATTCATTATAATATGTGGATGTCACCTGTTACTTTCGTTAGCGATTTCACTATTATGTTTTATTTACTAATAATTTTTCCTGCTATTCATGAATATACCCAATAAAATGAAAATGAGATGTGTTTCGCTTCAAGACTTTTGTGGCTACGGTTCGAAATTCCTTCATATTACCATCCAGGTCTTCTAAACTGCCTTCTAGTTGTGAGTTTAGTAAGATAAGTTTTGTAAGTTCATTTTGTATTCATTTATCTTAATTTATATTCTGATTTGGTAGTCCGAGGATTACTTCAATGATGATGTTTTATCTTGTCAAATCTACATCTGGTGTGAACATTTTTTATTTGCTGTTTGTTAGTGATGTGTTGGATTTTAACCATGTTTAATTAATTGTTAATTTTAATTTGGCTTATTCATTTAAGTTATAGCCTATTCACTCCTCTTTAGATTAATTAATATTCATCCTAAAACTTCCAATTGGCACTAGGTCACAGTACGTAATTAGTGAGATATGTGGGACAACTAAGATGAATTGTGTTGTGGGCTCAATTCCTCATATACCGTACTTCGATGGTAATAACGATGAGTCTATGATGCGAGGAAGAAGGAAATGAAATCTTTTATATCAGCACTAAATGAAATCTTTTATGACATTTCACATGTTAAACTTAAATTTTAGGATCTATGTGTGTGTGTGTTCATGCATGACAATACATGTAAATTGTAAAATACAATTTATCAAACATTTAATTACTTTACTTTACAATTAATTGTTCTCGAGGTACAACAGAAGTGGAAGCTATGCATAACAAAATACAAGTCTAATTGCATAAGTAAACCTAATTTCTTGAACAAGGAAAACTACATATTACTTTGTAGGTAGGAAATAAAATACAATCCCAAATTTACCAATCTCAAATACTTTTTTATTTGAATAAACTTAATATAAGTCTAATTTTGTGAGTTATTATTGAGTTTAGTCCACTTTGTTGGGTTAGTTCCATTCACTGATTATCCATATTAGCTTTTTTGTTGTCATTTTTTATATTTTTATTTTTATTTATTTTAACAAACAATATTATTCACTTGGAAAAGGAGCACGGCTTTTTTCTAGAATTAGTGTTCGACCGCGGCTGCCCCCTTTTTTTCCGCACCAATCCTTATTTTTTACTTCAAGGGGTGAGGAGTGGGCTAAGTTTCAAAATGAGCTAGCAATAATATGGTTCAAATTCTCCTTTCACGAAAATCGAACCTAAGACCTCTCACTTATAAGTGAGGAAAAATACTACTAGATCATAGTACTGGCTGTTGTTATCTTTTTATTGAATTGTGATAAATGTCATCTCTTAATTATAGTTCATCTTTTACTCAATTTTAAGATTAAATATTGTTCTCCTTTTTCCTACTCCTAGTTTGTATCTCAATTTTTCTTCCACCTTCATCACATGTTAACTGCGGAAACTAATGTTTGTTCTAGGTACTATATATGAGCATATATACTAATATTGATTATAATTGTATGGAAGATGAAATTTCTTGAATCTATTTTCATGGATGATAGGTAGATTAATTTCTTTTTATTTTGTAGATACCTTTATCACAAGTTAAATGTATTTTATCAACCTATGGTATATGCATCATATATGATGACATATAAATTTCCTTTTAACTATTTTCCATGAAAGTGCCTTTTAACTATTTTCCATGAAAGTGGTTAGAATTTTTTATTTAAATATTCAAATTAAAAATTTGAGTAAAAATTCATAAATTAAGAAATTTAATTAAAGTTGAAAAGTAGAATTTTTTTTTTTTCTTTATCTGGATCAAAGTACCCCTTTTTGTTTCCTAATTCTCCAACACAAACTATTCCAAGATATTCCATTTTCTCCCTCATTTATAATCCAAATGGCTACCTTCTTGCACAATTAGAATGGATGTACTAGTTGTGAAGGTTGAAGATACCAATGCATCTCCAAGAACTCCAATGTCATTAGAGTCATCGTCATCCAGTAACGTTGTGCTGATGGCCTCTTGCATTTCTCCATGTCTTCTACCCACTATGAACATATCATATTCACCTTCCGTGGATTGTATTAGCGAGAGAATTTGTTCCCAACTCGTCACCCAATTCTCTACAAATTTTATGGAGGCATCATTCATTGACCTCAGCCTAAACTCATCCAAGAACAACTCGTCCAGTTTTTTTTCCCTCCCAATATTTGCCAGTGCCTTCAGAAACCCATCAGTACCATCATCATTATCATCAGAGCACGCTTTTGCTTCATTTTCACTCATAATGTTAAACGATATGACTGTTAGGTTAACCTTGGGATGTCCAGCCATCCGACCAACATACGCTAATGCCTCGCGGTCATCTACCCCTCCAAAGAAGAGCATGGAATAGCGGCATTGAGGGTAAGAGTAGTTGAATGCACCGAGGCCTCGATCCACAAGAACACCCACAGAGCACTGCGCATTTGCGATCAAGTTGTTGTTGAGCCTCCTTAGATGTGAGTTGTTTGGATCTGGTGCCACTCCTCCAACCAATATGGTGGATTTCTTGTGGAACGGGATGATGATTATGGCAACACGGTTCTCCTCGGCCAGGTTGCATATGTCCCGGTGCATCGTGGAGTATTGAGACACTGCCGTTAGTGTTTGCACCATGACATTTTCTCTATGTTTGGCATATGTTTCAAAGGCATTTGAAGGGGACGACGAGTTGTAGGGAAAGTGTACATCATTGGTCTTACAAGCACCGTGCACTACCAACATCGCCGAAGCATGCCCGGTTAGTTCGACAAGGTGGGCAGCAAGAACATGAAGAGGGGAGTTTTTGGTTGGATTAGAAGCCTCAAGGAGATTGATAATGCCTGACACATTGCTTGAGTTGTGAGCACATGCAAGGATTCGAAGCTCGTCGTTAGATCCTACGCTTGCTACGTTTCTCTGTTTGTATTGCACGAAAGGCCTAGCATTGGACTTGTATAGAAAGACTAAAAGCGGGCCAACTGTAAATGTCATTACCAAAATTGCCCACACCATTACTCCAAAGGTTTGTTTGTTCAACGCCTGGACGTGTACATATGTATACAGATACCACATATTAATAGTCATTCGTTCATAAATTATTCAAAAACTATACGTACGTATAAATTAACCGTGCATGTTGTACTAAAAATCAATGTCATGTATGAATAATTTAGGGAATAATTTGAAGTGAGCAATACCTAAGTTCCATCTCCAAAATAATTTTTCTTATTAACATTTCACATGCAGCAATTTATGTTTTATTTAGCACTACTTCACTTCTTAGTGTTAAAAAAATTTAAAATTTAATAGTTAACTTTTTTTAAAAATTAAAAATAAAAAGATAAAGTGGACAGATGAATCAATAGTTTTATCTGCATAATGTAGCTAGCCACGCATGCATACATGAGGTAATGCTCAAGAAATCAAATTTGAAGACAAAATTTGCAAATTAAATGATGTGTCACTAATAAAAATGAGGATGTTTATCAACGTTTAAGTAATAAATCAATCATCAACTTCCATATCATTTAGTTTCCAAAACTTTGTCTACAAATTTAGTCTCTCGAGCATTACCCAAAATCATATATTACCTTTACGTCCCGACCAGTGTTGAGTATGATAAGTGTAAATAAGCCTTTGGTGTTCATGAGCACTCCAAGAGCCAAACTATCCCGAAATGACATTTTGTTGATTAAGCCGGCAACCAAAGTGCTGACAGTCTTAGCTGCAAAAGCTAAGATGACAACCCCCACTACGCGATATATATCCGTCCCAGTTTTTTTCTCCGATGGATAAATGGAACTGAGAATATCCACGTAGTTGAGTCTTCCCCCATTGATACAGAAGTAGAGAGGCATTAGAATCCCAGGCACAAAACTTCCCACCTTCTTTTTAAGATTGTTTGAAACCTCTCCTCTAGGCATGATAGCTCCAAACATAAAAGACCCTACGATGGAATGGGATCCACATGCATCGGTAATGTACCCACAAAACACAACCCCCGCTAGAACAAAGCATTCAAATTGACTGTAGTCGCCATCCTCTGGTGTTCTTTCGCGAATTCGGTTAACAATCCATGACAGAAGAGGATGTACTACAAAAACGCATAGTCCTATAAAAAGCAAGGTGAGTCCCACCGCAACTGTCTGGAAGCTGTTGACTATGGCCATTACGAGCAGAAGAAGAAACCAGGAGCATAAGTCGGAGATAACAGAGGCAGATAACGCAAGTCCTCCGACATCAGAGTAGAGAAGTTTGAGGTCTGCGAGGATTTGGGCAAGGTCTGGGAAGTTAGTGGTGGCAAGAGCAACGCCCCAAAACCACGGGCCATCCTTAGTCGGAAGTTTTCCTCCATTGCCTTTAGTTTGCTCGGCAAAATCTTTGAGGAGTACATATCGACATAAGGCCCAGCCAACAAGGACGGAAAAGATAATGCCGGCGAGCGCAATGCTAATAGCCTTCTTCCCAGCTCGAAATATTGGTTTTAAATCGAGCTCTAAACCCACCAGGAACATGTGGTAAACGAGGGCCAAGTTTCCCATGGTCTCCATAATCTTCAAGGTACTATAAGGAAATACGGCTGGTACAACTTTACCCCAATTACTCGTACTCGTCGACATTCCACCCTGAAAATTTTAATTTGTAATGCACAATGCTAATAACAATTATTTTGCGATAAAAAAGAAGCCTATGTATTATTGGATCTCCATGATAAAGTCATCATGCAAGCCTCCAAATAAAAACATGTGTAGGCGAGAAATGGCACTTCTTGACGTGCAAAATGAATTTTATTTCTAAACCTTATAACACAAATCGACCACTCTTTAATACACACCTCACTGTGTGGAGCCACGAACAATTGTTCCGTATACTAAGTGTTATAATATAATTGGCTGAATATTTTTTTTTTTTTTAAGTTTTCAACCAACTGTATTATTACAAGAATTAGTAACAACAATTATCCTCTTCAACTAAGTCAATAAAAACAATTTTGCTCTCCAGCTAACATCAATACCACTTGCTAATATTTCCCTTGATTCATCTCTCCTTAAAATCATATAATGTTGATTGACCAAGTCCTAATATTAAAACTATTTTGATACATCATTTTTTTTGGGATTTTGCAAGTATAAGTTGACTACAAGTTTTGAGAGTTAAATTTTATAAAGGGCTTATAAGTCAAAGTCCCTTTCAAAAAAAAAAAAAAATTGAAATGTGTAAAAAGGATGCACTACTTGCAAGTTTTAATTTAATAATGAAGGAAAAAATAACAAGAGAGGAATCAGGAATGATGTACTACTTACAAGAATCTCAGCAATAATCCGTGGTTGGTGCAAGGGTTTGAAGACAAGCATAAAAATACGAGTGCTGAAGACTGCGATGCTCAGTTTTATAACAAGAACTGAAAGAGCTGACATGAAGGGGTTGTGTGCTCGCCATAGACCTGTTGGGGATATCGTTTTATTGAAGCATACCTCAATTAAATTTTTTGTGTTACTGGATATTACAAAATCTTCCCCACCAATTGTCCCATTCAACTTAAAAGCCATTTAGTATTTATTTCTCTAATCCCTGTGGCCTTTACCTAAAGAGAAATTAAGGCCCCCATCTCAGAGAGAAACCCTGATATATATACAATACAAACTTTCTTGCAAGTCGCAATGGCTAGGGATGGAGGAAAGGGAAGGCTCCCAAAGAAAACTGAAGGTTGATAAAGTGGTTTATAGTGTACGTAATGCACGCTGTAAAATTGTTGGGCTATTTACGTAGTCATTTCTAGTGTAGTTTTTTTTATTGGGTCGTTTTTAGTATGGTTGAACATCATTGGTCATCCTCACTCCTCTCTTCTATACAGTTTTATTTCACTCTTTTTTTCATTAATTATGTGTAACGAGGTATTTGTTGGTCTTATTCAGTACAACGGCTTCATATACTTACCCAAGTGACTGAACTAACCATAAACAGTTTGATATATTTTTCTATTTTTTCAATTATACTATGAACACTTCCATTTAAGAGATGAAAAAAATAACAGGCATCCAACTGAAAAATGGTAAACAGATTTTTAATAATTGATTGATTTGTATTTTATATTAATTGTGAACTGCCAAAGGACCGTTACATGACTAACCCTGGCAAACTGATTGCCTTGCACTATACCTCGGGAGGAAGATAGGGCACGGGGGGATATATTGTTTACGTCGACGGCAAGCCAGTGAGGGCTAACGAGTGCGAAGTGAGGTAAGGCATGGCAAAGACAGCGAGGCCTAACATGCAATGTAAAGTGTCATAGTTAATGGAGGCAGCGCATCACAGAGAAGTGTGCCTTGAGCGACATGCCAAGCGTGCAACAAGAATGTCATAAGCGTTTGCGCGACATCGTCAAAGCCTAATGCGGGAGTGTGTAGTGCCTCAAAACCACTCATGGAACAATACCAAGCTCTATTAGCAACATGATGTAATAATATCAAAACTCGAATAATACTCCCAATAGAACGTTAGACAAGTGGAAAGATAATCTATTGGAATCAATAAGGAACTGAAATTCAAGCTTAACAACATCATAGTTACTAAATACAAAATGCACTTTCATTATCACCACTGCCATGTCTTATGGCACACCAACTCCTCAACACTATATCACGTGTAAATGTGTAATGCATTTATAGCTGGTTTATATTTACCCCAATTACTCGTACTTCTTGTTGTCATTCCAGCCAGAAAATTCATATTAGTGAGCGATCGAGAAATCACTTCAAGACGTACAAACTGATTTTTTTTTTTTTTTGGTGAATTTAATAACAGCTCCTTAAAATAATTTCAAACACAGAATACCACTATGTAATTTATAAGGCACAAATCAACCTCTCTTTTATACACACTTCACTATGTGATTTCATGATATGAATCTCTCCTTCAAATATTCTCCATGTTAAAAATAAAAAAAATCAGCTAAATTAAAGTAGCTTAGCACAATGCTCTTGATTAATTAAAACGCGTGATTAATTATTATGAAATTACTCATGGATTAATAGTTACACTTGAATATCCTCTGTCGATTGAAAACCCACCAGCTACACTCAAGCATGCAAATGGCAGCAAGCGATGGAAGAGGAATATGATGCACTTCTTCATAATCAATTATGGACTCTCGTTAAACGCAAGGCCGACAGCTCCAATAAGCTCAACAAGGCTTGTCTCGTCGCCAAGGAGTTCAATCAACAAGCTGAGCTTGAATATGATGATACCTTTAGTCTCATCGTTAAACCAGGTCCTATTCGCACTATTCTTGCCTTAGCGGTTTCCCAAAATTGGCCATTGCAACAAGGAAGTTAGAAGCAACCATCTAGTTTTGTTGATCCCAAATGCTCCAAATATGTTTGCCACCTTCACAAGACTCTTTATGGCCTCAAACAAGCACCCCGCACTTGGTTTCAACCTTTAACCTCCTTCCTCTGTAGTCAAGGCCTTTTAAACAGCAAATCGGATGCACATGTGTTTGTTTACCACTCCTCTACATACTCTATGTTTTGGTATATTTTGATGACCTTATTTCACATGTTCAAACATTCACAGGTTCATTGATCAATTATGTACCACCTTTGCCAATCACACACTCAAAGTTAGGAGACCTCAATTTTTTTCTTGGAATGGGAGTTACTCGACAAGCCAGTTAGTTCTCTCTCTCAAACCCATTATGCCTTAAAGAAATTTAAGATGGATCTCTGCAAACCCAGCCCTACACCATTCCTATCCTCAATGCTTGTCTGCTCATGATAGTGATCCTATCTCGGATCTTGAAGCCTATTGAAGTATGGTTGGTTGGTGGCCTAAGTACCAGACTCTTAACACACCCTGACATTTCCTTTGTTGTTGATCAAGTTTGTCAGTGCATGCATAACCTCAACTCATCTTCAGGCGATCAAGCGAATCTCTCACTACATCAAAGGCATTGTTGAACATGGTCTCTGATGCTGACTTGACCGATTTCGTTAATCATCATTACGCAAGTGGTGCTTGCATTTTCCTTGGTTCCAATCGCTAAAAAGCAATCCATTGTGTCCCGCTCTAATTCCGAATTTAAATATCAAGCTCTTGCCACCACAACCGCTAAATTATGTAGTTTTGTTATCTCTTTCGTGAACTGGGCATTCTACTTCGTACGCCACCTTGAATTTTCGTAGACAATGTCTCTACTCTTCACGTGACAGCCAATTCTGTTTTTCATGCGTGTACTCATCAAACTCGACAAATCTCTTCTCATAATCAAATCGCTAATGTCTTCACAAAAGGATTTACCCGCGTACAGTTCTCTTTCTTTGTTTCCAAGCTTAATCTACATTTTGTTCCATTTCACTTGAAGGGGATGACAAGCAATGTATTAAAAGGCGGAGGTGTAGGCAAGGCGTTTCATGGATAGCCCCGCTTAGGCGTGAGGTTTGAGGCGAAGCCTAACAAGACCTAAATAACTTAATATATATAGTATAATACTTTGTAAAACAAATATAATTATAACTAAGCCAAAGATAATATCTTCTTCATTACTAAGTGTAGTTGTACTTGGAAATTATGTCATATAGTCTTAAAATGTTGTAATTATTTATTTTATTGTAAGCAATTTTAGTGAACTTCAAGAGAAATAAGGCTGAGTAGCCACAATTATAGGTAGTTTGAAAAGAAATAAAGATAGAATGTCGCAATTATAGGCAATTCAAAAGGAAATAAATGATAAGTGGAGCTATTATAGGGAATTTAAAATGAATAAAGATTGAGTGGAGCAATTATTATAGGGAATTTAAAGGAAATAATGGTTGAGTGGAGTAGTTACAAGAAATTTCAAGAGAAATAAATCTTGGCTAATCAAAATGCTAAGTGGCAGAATCTGAATAGGCAATAATTAACAAAAAACAAAAAAATAAAAAGAGTTAGAGTTAGACTTTGCCACTATGATTTGGAGAGAGAAACTTTCTCTCTTTCTTCCCTGAAATCAGAATAGCACATAGGGGAATGGCAAAAACAGAGGAACGGCAGAAATAAACTTGGATTTGGAAGGAAAAAACACCCGACCGAACGCTTGGGCATGCCTCAGCCGCCTAGGAGCACCCCGACGCCGCCTTACTCCTACCCCCCACAAAACAAAGGCGAAAACCCAGTAGCCCCACCTCCAAGAATGCATAGGCACACCCCGAGGCTAGTTTTTTTTTTTAAAACACTGATGACAAGATTATCCAATTTTCTGTTATATCTCCAATAGATCTACTATCAAACCGTGGTCGTAGCAACCTCTCCACATTAGGGAAGGGATCCTCTCCGGATCCCTTCCACCAAATCCACCAAGTCCACTCATTCGGACCCTTGAAATTTGATCCAATGGCTAAAAATAGGGGGGGCCCTTTAAAAGTTAAAATAACTTTAGCCCTTGGATCAAAGTTCAAGGGCCCGGATTGGTGGATTTGGTGGAATGGATTTGAAGAGGATCCCTTTCCTCCATATTGTTTTATATAAATTGTTAGATCCCACATCGCCCAGGAGAGAGGATCAT